GAGCTCAGTGGAGCCCAGCGCGGAGACCAGTGTAGCCCAGCGGAGCCTGTTACGGTAATGCCCGTGCCTGGCTCCAGGCGCCGGGCGCGCGCGGGGGCGCCCACCTGGAGGGGGTCTGGACAAGCGACCGGGAGCTGGAGTCCCGGGGGCCTGGAGGAGGCCGCCTGGAGGCCCGGGGGGTGCTGGAGAGGAGGCACTCCGACCGCCAGCCGGGCGCGTCGATTCTTTATCCGGCCCCCAGCATAAAGGCGTCCTGCTGCGACAGGGCGCATCTGGGTTCCTTGGAGGCGCGGAGGCGAGCAGCAGAGCGCAGGGGGAAAGGGTAAGGGTACCGCCAATGTCATGATAAAGGAATCGCCCGAGCAGCAAGGGGACCACCCCGCTGTTACGCCTCTGACCGTAAGCAAGCAAGCGAGGTTCGTCTTGCTTCGCGTGGGTCATCTTGGGTTGTTTTTGACAGAGAGGTCGTAGGTTTCGATGAGTAATTGGATTCTAGAGTCGATTTTATGTTGGCATGCTGTAAGTCTTGCAAGTTGTTATGTGAATCCTTGTGAATCTCAGTCATCCACAAGCTCACTGCTCCCCCACGTCTGTGTACTTTTCACCACTACGGCCGGGTGCGCCCCCCAATCCTTTCCATACCCTCCTTTTGGCGCGGGGCGCGTTGCGCGTTTGCCGGAGTGTACAATAGTATTATTATCCCTGATTTCACGCATGCATAACAACTGCTTATTTGGCAAGAATGCGGTTTCGGCCGGATGGTCCGGGCGGCGCGAGGCGAGCCCGCCCCGGGGGCCTTCTGCTGCTCCCCCCGCAAGGCTCCGGCGGGGGCTCCGGCCGCTCCGGAAACGAGTCCTGTCAGCATTCCGAGAAGTCTTGAGGATCACGGGGGCAACCGCGCGCGATCTGCGATCTCTGTTCTCTTGCTGCTGCTGCCAGCCTCTCTTCCTCGTTCGCGTTCTCGCCCCGCTCTCGCTCACTGCCTGCCCCCCATTCTAATACATACACATTTATACGTGCCAGAGGACTCCCCCGCCCCTTCCGTAGTTAGACCAGTGACGCGTAACTACATGCGAAGAGGTTTTCAAGTTTGGAAGGCTCGCATGTAGTTTGGTAATATTTATTTCCGTTTCTATCAAGACGATTCTTCTGGTTGCATTATTTTTCCAAAGCTTTGCAATCACTCTGATTGTACGTGGAAAATAGAGCGGCACAAAATTCGTTCTTGGAACGCTCATTATTCCTGGCGCAGTGAGGTGGGGTTGAAGTGCCAAAGGGTCTGCGGTATGGTCTGTCTGTGCCGCCACCGGCCACCGGCTCGGAGCCTTCAATGGCTCCTATTCAGCTCGGTCCTATAGCATGTCCTGTCCGTCACAGCCACAAATGCACTCTGCTGCACCGGCAGCTCGGCGGGGGAAACAACCCCTTCAAAGGGGTGGTGGGAGGGGTGCGAAAGCCGCTCATTATGCAACCCCTGCTCTCTCCTACCATCGCAATGGCCCGACTGACCGCCTATCTCGCTTTCCCAGAGCCAGCTTTAAGCGTTCTCTCTCTCTCTCTCTCTCTCTCTCTCTCTCTCTCTCTCTC